AAGAACACAATCGGTGCGCCAACGTCTCCTGCATCAAGGTCAGATGCTGTCATGAATAAAACACAGTGCTAAGCTTGTTTGTTTTTTTTTTTTTTTTTTCTTTTGCATGTACATATGTACCACGGGCTCAACGAACAAAATGAAACACGTAGCCCTTCCATTCCACCTTTTCGCTGAAGGCCAAGTTCAATCTGCCTTCGAATATACCGCAGCAAAAGCTGGAGCAGGTCCTACTCAAACAAAACTTGGGTGAGTCAACATCTTCGGCAAAGGACAGCATAATAACTTAAAACGTAGACTTCTTTTATTCTCATGTGACACAGTGGTAGAAGCAGCAGCTCTCCAGATGCTTTCAAGACTGATTCAAATTGAACCGGCATCAGTCGTTGACAGCAACCAGCTGAGCGCCTTGGCGTTTTCGGAGCTCCTCCGATGTCATACTTAATACCACGAGTCATATCAGCAACACATTTTTCAGGGCGAACGAGTTTAGCGGCATTAGGAACACGAGTACACTTCCAGACCCCGGATGTTCCAGATTGGTCGGCAGGTTTATACTTCAAACTACGCTTGTGGTGTCTCTAGACATTTCCGGATACACAAACGTCGGCTTGCTCAGTCTGGTTCAGCTGAATTCTAGAGCATTCAGCACAACCATGCAATAATCAAATTCTGACCATGGAACCAGGATAAGTCTGACAGGGACCAGTCTTTTAACCTGGCACGGAGTTCCGTCAGACTGAACCAGCTCACCAGCTTATACTATATTAGGTTCTGCTGAACCTATCTCGTTTGGTGAGGTCCTGTCTAATTTCGTCGAGTGAAACTTTCTGTTTAGTGTGATAGATGTCTTCTTTGTCCTGTCAGGTATTTCTGGATTGCTTCCTAGTCCACCTGAACGATGCCATCTGTCCCGCTGCATCCTAAAAAATCTCCTGAATCACCCGCATGCTATCAGATCAACCTGAATCCTGACTGGCGGTTTCTAACTTGAACATCTGAGTACCACCAGGCCCTCTCAGTTTCGATGGGCAGCTCAATGGCGCGAAGTGCGCATCGATGATCGCTGTCAACGGCTGGGGACGCTTCAGTTTGAAACGCCCTTGTTACGGATATTTTGTGCGAACATTTTACGAAACGGTGTGCATGTTTTCGTTGAGCTATATCGGAGGGGTTGACATCAAACATGTTTCTCGAGAACCGGTGACTAGCACCTCGTACTGCGAGAGAACAAGCAAGTCTGAACTCTTGTCCCAAAAGGTCGTTCCGATCTCTCGAGAGTCTCTTCTGCCCCGCCACTACTGTCTCTCGCCAGTCAGCTTCTCGAAAAGAATGATTCCGGTTGCATCAGCGGAATCTAGAAACAGGCTAAGGAGATAAATGATATCTCCGGATTAACGAACTCTCGCGTTTTAGCGTATATTTCCATGTTTTCCCGAATCATTCTTTTATCATTGGTTTGGAGATCGTTAGCCCATGTTTGTAAACGATTATTTCTCATAGGTAGCACGCACATTTGATCTCTCAAATACTACAAAGCCTTCGCGTAAGTGAAATGCAGTACAAGGGCTACCTCAAAGATGGCTCCAGCACGCCAGTGTGTTCTCCCGTCCTTATAGAGATCGGAGCATTTTGTAATGCGCACTTGGTCATGAGCGAACTCGAGTGCATAAACCATCCTTAACGGGATCAGAAAAATCGAATAATTAAACCAGTTGTGACTTTGTTTAGTAACTCCATTCGTTCCCTGATATGTTTTTTTTTTTAAAGTTATTTAATAAGAAATTGACGCGCAGTTTACCGGAACGATAGAATATTCAGAAGCAGCCCAAGCTATTCCTCTGAATTTTGATGCATGTGTTTTTAATTGGCATATATACACGTTTGTGTGCTTGCATGTTTTTTTTTTTTTTTTTGTTTTTTTTTTTTTTTTGTTTTTTCACAACTTTTTATTTTGTCTACTCTGTATTTTGGGTGTATTTCAATTGTGTGTGCTTAACCCAGTAGGCTTTCGAGCTGTTGGTTAGCACAAGAGAAAAATAAACATTGATTGATTGATTGATTGATTGAAGACAGAAGTCGCAGCTTATCATAACAACGAGATATGTATATCGGGTTTCGTTTCTCGCGTGTAACCCAGTATAATATTCCTGAGTGATGAGGATCAATTTAATCACAGAGATTAAATTTCGATCCTAAACGTACTCAAATTACTCGCCTCTTTACTAATGTTAGCGTATATTTGTTTTATCCTGAGAGTAAATCGATCGAGCTTTTCAAAACCAAGACAAGCAAAATCAGTTTACGATTCACGAAACGTTATTTACGTAATGACGATATGTTGTTATGAGGACATTTCTTATATATTTATTTACATAATGTTTGATTTCGTAAACAAAAGCCTAAGGAGTCGCGAAGTCTGAAGCAACGGATTCCAGTTCCATTTCGTAAATATAAGGGCCATCTGCAATTTCGCATTAACTGCAGATTTTCTTTTTAATCGTTGGGTTTCAATGCAACGAAGTGAAATTACCTTTTTATTTTCTTTCAGTAAACGTTCCAGCAACTATAACTCTTACGTGATCTTACATACAAAACGCATAACAATTCTGAAGGCTATATGGTTATTGAAAAAAAAAGGAAACTATTTTGTACGTATAAGCCAACCTTTCGTGAACGGCGTATTCTTTTAACCACAAAAAACAAAAAAAAACAACACAGAAATGGGAAAAGAAAAAGGTTTTAGTCCTTATTTATTTTATGGGCGCCCCCAAACTGAACTCATAATTACTGTAGTCACTAACATCTTACGAAGCGCAGAGTGCGGCATATCACGAGCATTTCACTATCGCTCCGCAACCAATCCTATGGCAGTATTCGTCAGTGGAAACGCTGGAGAACAAATCACGAAGCGAGAAGCTTGAACCATGGCAAACCGCACTCTCCGCTTCTTAGGCTCGCAGTGACTCTAGGGCCGTATGCACCGGCGGTTTTTAATCGGGCGTTGACAGCGCGCGTTTGCGCTCTGGCGTCATTTAACAATATGAACTCGTTATCAATCGAAGGAAGTGGAAAAGTCATTTTGCTTTATGTTCTACTTGTATGGAACACGTTTAAAAGGCAGGCAGGGTTTGGTATCGGGAACTAATGAAAATTCGGTGAGATTCACACTTCCCCGGATGCTTTTTTTTTTTTTTTTTTTGTAGCGTCTAGATTTAGCGAGCGTTTAGACTTAATCCTTTTTATTCTTCTCGTTTATGTTTTTTATTAGTTCAAAAATCTTGGCTCAGTAAATAAACAAAATATGATCATAGCGTAATATAAAATAATCAAATATCTTTTTCCGAACTAACATCTTTCTGTGCGCTTATATTACAGGGATCTGGGCAACATAACAAGAATTATTGTTGCATTACCATCTCGGTCTAAGCGTATTTTGTTTACTAATACATGCGCCTCACTTTGCCGGTATACGGTTAGTTATAAGTATGCAAAGACACTTATGGAACTTTCTTAATTTTATAAATAGAACGGTGGTAATGTAATATATTATGCATCATTGCATTTCTGGTCATTTAACACGCTAAGTTTCATCGAATATACATCAGCCAATATATATTTCTTTTTAATATAACTTTTTTGTGCTAAAATTAATAGGTCGGAGCCCTAATTTTATTACACCCAACTTATGAAATGGAGCACCGCCTTCTTTTGTCGACAGCGTTTGACAGCACGTCGAAGGGCAGGTGACCCCCTCAAGGTTCGTGCGCAGGCGTAGTCTATTCAACTTGGCGTACCCTACTCTCACGAGGCCCTAACACGTCACGTGACTTTGGTTCGCTCGTAGATGGACCTCCAACACGTTATTTAGATGACCTCTTTCATGCGCCAAATTGATCCGGATGCTCATCGGGTTCCAGTTAGAGGAAAGGCTAACCCGATGTTAACAGTATCGACTCCACGGTTGCGACTGCGCGTGGGCATGATGTACCAGATATATGAGGTTGGTTACATATATTGCTTCCCTGTCAAAGCCATTAACTGCTGCGCTCCACCCTGGTCGAGGTTGCCGGAATGAATCCGGGTTCAAATAATGGTTACAGGGTATGCGGCACCGGTTTGTTTTACCCGTCACAAAAATTAATTCGGACATTTGTTTGTAAAGAAGGCTATTCGTACTACCCTACGTTTGCTTCAACATTGCCAGACGGCTAACGAAACGCTTTAACTCCGAAGCAAGACAAACCTTACAGAGGGCGTCATATTAACACTTCCAGTAGACTGCAGTAAAAACAAAGACAGTATCTGCAGCGATGGTTCCGAGTCGACTAATCTATAGCATTCTTCTACCTTAAGCAATATACAGTTTTCTTTTGTCTTTCTCGGTCCTTAACAGTGCCTCTTGGGTCGTTTTACTTCGTCATCTGGCAGAAGCGGACACTTCGGATATCTCAGAGAAGCTTTGTGAAAGAAGTACGCAAGCGTCTTGCGAACGTCCAATGGCCGCCCGGACCGTCTGGTCTCTGAACGCTCAGAGAAGCCCGTGGACGTCTGTGTTACATTGCTGGCCACGTCTGTGGTATACGTCCGCGACCTCACGTGGTACGTCAGCGGTACGGTCGTCAACTACCGGCAGGGCACAACTGCAGGACCGTTAAGCCGCCGTCACACTGCTATGACATCTAACACTAAATACAGTCTGCGGTCACTGTCTGTGGCCTGCTTTCTCTTTGCATGACGGTCCTTTCACATTGATCATACGAAGACTGTCTGCTGAAATGTTCAAAGCGTAAAGCTTGCCTTGAACGCATTTGACAAGTGTCCGCATGTATTCTATCACCATATCTCCAGCGAAAAGGTTTTTTCTTTGCGTATGATGCCCGAAAAGTGTGGCTTTACGCATTGCGTCGTCTGATTAAATGCGTGGCTCGTCGAAAATAAACCAGAACAAGCCCGACAGCAAAAGAGAAAAAGAAATGGGAGAGGAGGTATATTCCGTCTGGCAGGTCATGGGAGGAGACGATGTGGCATCGTACGGTTTTCTTTCTTTTAGGACGATAACAGAGTCTTTCCCAGCGTTCCCAGCGGTTCCGGGCGGTCTTGGTCGTTGTCGTCGTCCAGGACTGGAACGTGGTTGTCGTGGTGGAGGGGCAGGTCGTCGGGGAGGAATGGCCGTTCGAGCTGAGCCTAGGGATGCCTGAAGCCCTCGCAGCTGGTCCAGGTGGAGTCGCACACTTGGCACGAGCAGCTGAGGGCCTCGAAGTAGTCGTACGTCCTCAGCTCGTCCTCTTCGTCCAGGTCCTCGGGTTCGCAGTTGCGCAGCTGCGTCGTGACCAGCCTCCGCGAGTCGTACGTGCAGACCGGATGGAAGGACTTCTTGAACGGGAAGCGCCAGTCGGCGATCTGCGTGGCAAAGGGGGTTGCGAAGAAGTTTTAGAACTCCGATTGGGGTGCGTGAACTTACCAAGTAAACCTTCCCCGCTCTAAAACAAATCGAAAACATTGACGCCTGCTCACCGGAAGCTCACACTTTCATCGAATGTGCACGAAGTAGATCAGTCTTACTGTGTGAAATCTCAAGTCGTAGTTCTTTTTCTGTGAAAAATGAGAATAAAACTACTTGCCAAAGTCCCCGTGCCCGGTCGCAGACGACAGAGTTAGCGACGCCATTAACTTGTTTTGTGGCGCCATCTACGGATAGGCGCAGCGAGCAGACAACATATATTGCTTCGTCTGCTCGCTACGCCTATAGCGAGATATCGCCACAAGTTAATAGCGTTGGTAACCCGGTCGTCTGCGAATGAGCCTAAGCTGAACCTTGGAAAATTTTTGCAGAAGAAAAACAATGTATCGATATTTCACACGATAAGACTGTGTACATTCCGTGAAAGTTTGAACCTTCTACGCGGAGGAGCCGATTTTTCCCGGTCGTTTTACAGCGGAAATCCGCTTCAGACACCCTGTGCGACGCGCAAGTTGGTCTGCTTCTTTCGCAGGAGTTGCGGCGACGTCATAAATACGCCGAGCTCTGATTGGCTCCGATCGGGACTATAGTAGGTAGACCTCGGGGAAGCTAGCATTGAGGTCTACTCACTATCCTTCAATCAGAACCAATCAGAGCTCCACTCCCTGACGTCACCACAACCCCCGCAAAAGAAGCAGACGAACTTGCGCTACTTACGAAACGCCGGGCGTGGCGACTCTCCAGCATATCATGATCACTCTTAAGCCAATGAGAGTGCGGCATTCGCCGATCAGAACCGCTAAAAACCAATCACGAAGCATGGGAACTTGACCAAACTTATGCCACGCTCCGAGCTCTCAGTGAATCTACACTCTTAAGAAGAAACTTTTGGGGCTTCAACTTTTCCTCGGCGCCATTGGGAGAGAGACAGTCGCTGCAATATATGGTGCGGGAGCTCGACAAATCGCGTGATCTAAAATATGCGAGCTATTGAACATTTCCATCGCTTATCATCCGGGAGAAAAATACCGAGTCACTGAGCTGTGGACGTATGCGCAGCGTCCAATAGACCGCACAGCGGATGTCCGACGCGTGCTCAGAAGGCGTTCCACAGTCCAGCAGACGAAGATGGCAGAGCGCAGAAGGCGATTTTTGCAAAGGTCTATGCCCACTTCCAGTCTAAGTTCGAACGTAGCCCGCACTACGATCCGACGAAAACAATCGAGCAGTGCCAAAAAGAAATACATCGTAATGGCGCTCGTCGTCTTTGTTCGTTTCTAATTACCGACGACTAAGCCAACCACGCACACACGCACAAAAGAAAGTTCAGAATCACGGACCATTCGCCGCGCGTGATTTGTTTATGTATATATATATATATAAACCAACATATGCAGATGAAAGGACCTTACTTAATACAATGAACCAAAGAATCAGTTTTACAAATCCGCCGAACGACAGATTAAACGGCAGAACCAGGATATATATATGTGTGGGGGTTTGTATGTGTGTATATGTGTGTGCGTGCGTGCGTGTGTGTGTGTGTGCGCGAGCGTGCGAGCGTCAAGAGAAATTCTGAAATATAACGAAAGAAGACTATGCATTACTATTTTAAAACGGGAGTAGCTTCCCAAAATGCGAGATATATGCAACCTTGGAACACGAGTTGTTCTTCTGAAGTTCACATTTATATATTTTTTTAATTATTATTGTTCATTTTTCGTCGTTAAAATTGTCTTGATCGTACGTGCTACTATTCCAGCAACTCGGCAATTCTGAAACCACGAAGGCGTGGAGGCTATTTTCAATAAATATCTAAGCAAGTCCCTCCTCCGCCGTTCTTTTTTTTTTTTTTTTTCGCAGCTTTAATCTTTTTTTACTGCGTACCAACTGGGCAATATATTTTGTGCGATTCTGTATACACCCATAACTCATCGCACAAGCACACACACACACGAAATAAAAGACGAATTTACGAAAGAAGACGAAGTACGTTTATTCACCCTCCAAAACTCAGTGGAATAAATCATAGCCCCGTCTGTCGCGCGGTTCCCCACCGTATTAATTCATCGTATTTATTATTAACGGTTACCTCTTGCCGGTATGTACCACGGTGCGAAGAAGACGTGTTCCACTTGGAAATGTACCGCAGCGGCGATTCCAATCATACCCGACAAAACCATGCCCCGTCTAATTATGAGGGCGTAGGCGCACTTACACGACAACGATGAGTGCCCTTTGCTGACAGAGCAATGCTCCCAAAGCTCATTTGTTTTAATCTTTGGACGGCGTAGCCGTTTTTGGGTTTGAGAAAAAAAAAAGGTGCTACGTGCGACTCATATTGCCAACGTTTCACGCACGATAAATATTTATTGTTTTGTGTTTAATTTTAGCGCCTGTCCCTGTCGTTTGCGTTATTTCCTATCCTTCCGGTCTGTTTGCGCTTTTAAACCTTATACCTACCATGGACCAACTAGCCCAAACCAAAGTTTTGATAATAGTGAATACGTTTAGTCTGATTTGGTGTAAAAAAAAAAAAAAAAAAGAAAGCCAAATTCGGTTTAGCTCAATTACGCGTCTTCGGCTAAACACATCCGTTTCCACTTCACATAAATAAAGAAATAATAAATAAATAAATATTATTTCTACTTCCTTTTGCATAGCATACAAAAGGAGGAAGGCAAAGCAAAAAGCTGCTTTATTTCCAGCTTGACGAGACCATATATTGTTGTCTCGTTCCTACTCTTCGTCCCTGTCGTGAAGCGCTATTATGTTCTCCAACATATATCTCCCTCACACAATGGCAGAAAATGGCGGAAATACTGCATAACGCAAAAAAAAAAAATGTTAAGAACACACACAATAAAACGAGTACTTGTTTCTAGACGAAAAGTAAACCCTGGAGAAGGGGAACAAGAGGGACAAAGGAAAAACACAACTCTTGTTTGTGTTTGACCTTTGTTTTGTTACTTGTTTTAGAGCGTACTTATTAAAAAGGCAATACCAGCAACTATAGTGCAATGATAAAAAACTACGAATAAACAAATTATTGGAAGACAAGGCAACACCTTACAACAGGATCACGCAGTGTCACTGCGTTTCACTCATTATGTTGCGTAACGGAGATCTCGATAATATAGCAACATGGACATGTCTATTGTGAACCCCATTTATAAGGGATGACATAATATATGTTACAGGTACTAAACCACAATTTGTGCGCGAATCACATACACATAATCAATGTTGCGAATGCACGTGGTGCAGAAAGAAGCATGAGTTATACATCGCTTTTGACCTGAATTTCTCCTGCCTCATTTCAAAGTTGCTATAATTATATACTGAATGACGTTATTACTGTCTTCTTGCTCGAAATGTTTTTGTGTAGACGTTTTACTGTTTTATGCCGTTTAACATTTTTATTAGTTATGTCGTTTTACAGTAGGTGGAAAAGTTAGTCTAAATGCTATAGAAATGCTTGTTTAATCCGGCTAATAGTTAATGACATTCCACCACTTCTATCTTTTTTTAGAAGTGTTGTGTATTTTTTTTTCGTCGTAAATTGAACCTGAGGAGTTTAATGATTGTCTCCTTGAAATTGAGGATATACCAGACAAACTGGGTGAATGCAAACTATGAGTAATCCGTGATTTTAATGTACCAGGTGTATGCTGGGAAACTCACAGTGTTTTTTCAAGTAATTATTATGGTGCAAAGAAGGGCGATCATCTTGTTGACTTTGCATCTTTCATGGGCCTGAATCAGTTTAGCAGGGTAAAAAATAGTAAAGGCGCTATCCTTGACATTTGTTTCTCAGACATTGATAACGTTTCTGTTACTAAGAGTTGATTTCCCTTAGTACCGACAGACAAATATCATATCCTGCCCTTGAGGTGGCTATAACCTTGAATGTACCTGTCAGCCGTATACCGGCTGCTAGTTTCACTTATCTAGGAAAACTGCATAACTTCGCTGCTGATGACCATGAGGGATTATATAACCATTGTTCTACGTTCGACTGGTCCCCTATCCTGCAATCATGCATCTGACGTCAATTATCAGGTTCTTCAATTCACCACGGCGGTGCAAGAGGGAATGGATCATTACATTCCTCTAAAGAACCATACCAATTCAAAATTTCCTTCCTGGTTTTCTCCGTATTTACAAAAAAAAGTTGCTGAAGAAAAAAAGCTCACCGAAAATTTATAACGAGTAGTTGTCTCAGGTGGAAGGCTGAGTTCATTCAATATAGACGCCTTTGTAACCAACATCATAGGATTGATCATAAGATGTATTTGGAGTCAGTGGAGTCCGAATAGAGGAGAAATCCAAGAAAGCTCTACCGTCATGTTCGTCCTCGAGGCGGAAAACTGATACGTCCTGATATTATGCTAAACGAGGAGAATGTGACCACGTCCAGTGTGTGCGATATATTAGCGCGTCCATTTCAGTTCTGTATATAAACACAATAGAAGTGGGTACCAACAGCCGCCATCTCCTGGTATGAACGGATCAATTTCCTCCCTGCCTGTGGATGAGGGAATGGTTCAGGAATGCATAAGAACACTGAGGCCTACCATGTCCTCAGGTCACGACGGTATTCCAGCAACACTTGTAAAAGCATTTCATGAAAGATATTTTCAACAACTTTTTAAGAGCAGGAGTGTTTCCTGACATATGGAGGAAGTCAGTCGTAATCCCAGTCTACAAGTCTGGAAGTCGTACCACTGCGTCAAACTACAAGCCAGTGTCTCTGCTGTGTACATTTTCGAAGCTTTTCGAAATGACAGTCCACAAAACATTGTCCTTTTGTTTAAAAAAATGTATTAAGTTCCAACCAACACGGATTTGTATCAGGACGCTCGACAGCAACAAATCTGATTTCATTTATGTCCATATCCAAAGCGGTGTGCCACAGAGGCCAGCTTGACGTGGTCCA